TTCCATTCCATTACCATATTTCATTGGTATCAAATGAATGAAATGTTCACAACAATGCAACACATCACCTATTGCAATTAATCACACAAACACTCAATTTCTTTCTCGTTTGAATTTGTTCTAAAATCAACCTGAATCAAATAATATTTCGCCTCAGCCAAAATCTCCATCGTCTCCACACGACAATCCGGCAGTGCCACATTGCCATCTCTCAAGAAATTCAGAATCGTCCCAAAATGTTTGCCACAACGATCGATTAACACCCATCCTTCGTTATCTGTCAACACCTGTGAACTGACGCAAATCATCCATCTGACTGACTCACACTCGTGATATTATTCACACATTTATCTCATATGACTGATTCTGAAGGACTTCTCATTGTATACAATTGATCTCAAGCTAATACGTGCACATTTTCTCACAATTCATTTGCTATCGCTCGCTGTTCTGTTCGTAAATGACTGCCCATAGAATAATCTATATCATTATAAGTACTCTTCAATGATGCAAGCAATTCATCGTCGCACCTCCATACGTCCAGAGAACATCGCCTGCAACATCGACTGATGCTTGACCAGTGTTGATATTGTTGTGCTATAGAGCGCTCCGCCAACGTTCAGTTTCACATAATGCGACTGAGGCTCATTGATTGTGATAAGTCGAGGGGTCGTCGTACTAGTCTTGATGTTGCCCTGGTTCATGATTTTCATTCCCAAACCACTACCCTCATTTGACATATCCATTTGTGTGGAATCCTGAAATATTTTCTCTCATCTCCTCGCCAAATTAAAACTTCCCAATTTCTCACAATCAGCTGATCGCCTCACTCTTCATGCGAATTGAAATTTTATGAGCCGTTCACTCACGATTAATTGCTATTGATTATTGAACCCCTTCAGTTGCCACTACTCGATGACACCATGTACCCATAAGCTAATGAACCGATACGCAAAATGTTACCGCAACCCATCAAGTCGTTTGGACCTGATCATTCCCGTACAAGTTGATATGTTCCTCCAAGTCTCACTACGTTTTCACCTAGATGCTTTAGCTCGAATTCCACTGCTTATTCGTATAAATCATTTGGATCACCATCAATATTGCCCATCAAATGATAAGATATTTGCATGATAGTTTGATAACTACTCAATTATTTTGTCGAAACAATAAAATGTAATCAACACACACAACACAACACATTGTAGTGCATACTTTATTCGAATTGTCAAACACGTAACGAAAATCGTGAAAGACGGCACAGCACTACGTTAATTTTTTTTCTTCAAGAATGTTTCTATATTTCACAAGTTCTTTTTCTTCTTCTTCAAATTACAAACGAATGTTTTGGATGATGATGATGAGTGGATGGAGTTGACAACAATTGAATTGAATAAGACTGGAATGGAACACTTTTTTTGTTGGACGGAACAAATCTTCAAAAAATTTCGATACGAGTTCATTGAAATGCGAGAATTTTCAAGTTACATAAGTAAAAAACGGTTGGAGGGTTGAATAAACTCAACAGAAACTACTACTTGTTTTCAGAAGTTGACTGAAACAAGAAATTTGCAAGCAGATGATGAATCAAAGCTAAAAAATTTCACTTCTGAAATCAACGGCAAGTTTCACAGAACCTGACCAGATAAGAGGTATATTCAAGAGTACATGCTTAATCTAACTTTCAAGACTTATTCAATGATGACTAAAATTTACCCTTTTCGACGACAATCGAGTTTCATTCACTTAATGATTCCGTTTGATCTCAAATGTGACAATGAGATATATTTATGTACGAACAGATAGGGGATCAACTTGAAAGGTTACACTGCCCTTCGGATATGATATCTATGGATAAGAGAGATGAAATTATAAGAATCGACTGACTAATGAGGATTGCTGAGCGCAAATACGAAGACAACCATCATCAAACGCAAACGAATCAACAAAATTAATCGAGGAGTCGAGATGAATAGACACATATACACATAATGTTGCTTGTGAATTAACAACCATGACAATGATTATCAATCATATCATTAAAATCGTTAAATCACTGTAATTAAAATCGACCTATTCGATGATAACAATAACAATAGTAATAATAATAATAACAAATGAGTGATTGGTACTACCGTTCTCCACAACCAACATTGGGGTCGCCGCATAAATAATTAATATCAGATCGAAACGCGTACATTCTCAAGCAGCATGTAATCATGAAATGTTAACCGTATAAAACGCACAAACACACACATACATACATATACATACAATACCTTAAGTCTTAAATCTCGTGAAGAAATGTGACCGATCGACCACCAATCATTCGGTTGTGATCAAACAAAATTATACAATGATAATCGTAACAACAATGATAATACCCGCAACATTTTTAGAATATAGCGATATCTCGACAACATCGTAATTAACAACAAGAAACGAACAAGACAAGAGTTGATTCGTCGTCTATTCACTCATCTATATTACTGAAGAAGCAATAATCGTACAGCAATTGTACAGTAACTGAACAATATAAGATATGCTCGAATGGTTATCTTCTTCTGCGCATAACTATGGCATTTCACATTCATTCCTTCATACACGTTAGCTTTTTCGAGAACATATATTGGTGATACACAACTTTCCCCATCACACCATCTCAAAATCCAGATACACCACCGAAAACATCATACATCCAAAAATCTATTCCACTCACTCGTATCCCTACTCAATCACAAAATTCAACTGAACAAAACTAAATTCTCTCTGATATTTTCTATCATTCCCTCTTTATCAACGTATAAATCACCACCCTGACTTCCCATTAAACTTTTCCAGTCTCGAAATTTATTGACGTAGGAAAACAATTTCCCAAGTTGCAAACAACAACAGCAGCACAACAACAACACAGTTCAGTGATAACCAAACTGAACCAACACGACCGACACAATCGCTACCAACAGAGTGTGCTTTCACATTTAGGAGCAGCAGTAGCATTGCAAGAAAACAGAACAATAACAACAAAAACCACTGATCAATTTGTCAAGTCGAATGACGGAACAACTAATAAATCAATTAAAAAAACATTGCTGCTCTTGTTCAGAAGAATGAATTCATCCAAACTGAACGAACGAACAAACAGAACAATGATTAAAAACGAATAATAAATGAACAATCAAGATTAAAACAAAACGCAACAAAAACAATCGAACAAAAGTGCCATATATGAAGATAATTTCAACCACGAGAGTGTTGTCGTCTTTGTGGTGAAATTATTCGCTTCAATATTAAATAAACTATCAACAGGAGCCGGTGATGGGAAACGGCTCACGGCACTACGCAATGCCTTCTATACCATTCGTCATGATCAAAACAAAACAAAAAAAAAATAAATTTTGAAAAAATTCACACTTTTCTAATGTCTCATCTCATTTCTCATTCAAACTTTTGTGACATTCATACAATCTTACACTTCCTTACAACTAACACATTGATATTAACCATTATTTAATCACCACTTATCATATTCCTTTTCAAACACCACCTATTCCTATTCTCATTCATAAATTTCATTTCCTCCCTACCTCCCCCCCCCTCCCCTTCACGATATCCCCTCAGCAAAGCTTCAATCACTTCAATCACCCAAGCCTAGAAAATCGCTCACACTCTTCTAGAACTCATCTCAAAAGACCCCTCGCAGATACGATTAAGCTTCTTGACTAACGATAAGTCCATTTTTCAACAACATGAGAACAAACCCGAATCTCGATCCCAGTAATACACTAACAACTTTTTGCTTGTTTCTTCATTGGAATGGTACAGGCAAATGCATCAAAAAGAGGCAGATTATACGAAGAATTAATGGAAAACGCAATTGTAAAAACATTATAATAATCATAATAACAGTACAGATACATCTCTGATTGATCGCTTTAGAGAATGTGAATAAAACAAACCGAAAACGAAATCGAATGAAACAAAAGACAATTAAAACGATAGTGCAGTTTGTGGATCTTTGATAGGCAATACGATTTATGGGAATGGTGACTGGCAACTAAGGGATGAATGGATGGATTAAAGAATATAATGATGACGATCACCAACCACCATTAAAACTCATCTTCGAACTCTCAA